TAAGTCAATGGGAAGCCGGCTCTGCCAAGACTCCAAGGAACTCCAGTGTCCCAGCGGCCTTTCGTGGTCCCCTCGAGCCCTGCCGCGGACTGCCTGCTTGGTACGTGTGGCAACATGCTATAATGATGTTGTGCAAGTGTCACTGGGGCGGGAAGACATGTCATGGTCGACTGGTTGGTGTGACTTTGGTTGGTGGCACCGACGCTGGGTGCCTCCACCCCAAAGGTCCGCCGATCGGCCGCCTGGCACTGTTTTAATGCACAACACACTTGTACAACATCACTGTAGTGTGGAGCCGCGGGTACCGGGCAGGCAGCAGCGAGGCGGCGGGCCCAAAAGCCCAAATGCGTCAATCTTCGGAGCCCGATAGCGGGCCTCCCGAGCGAGCTGCACCGTTCCTACTGTAGCAATAGATAGTTCATACTTAGCACTAGTAGCATACAACGTAGAAAGGGCGGGGCACCAATAGTACGGCCAGGCCAGGCCCCCGACCACCCAATGCCGCCATTGGGGTCCATTGCGTCCGCGCGCCTTCGCACCACCAGAAACGTGTAGCCAGTACCAAATCGAGTCGAATGTACTAACTGGCGGGACGGTAGGACTGAGTAGAGAGACGTAGAATTTTTTCCCCAGAACCGAACCGAAGCAAAAAGCGAACTTTGCGCCTTTACTGCACTTCGGGGTTTGGACCTTGCGAGCCGATTTTTCAAGATTCGGATCAGCCAAAGTTTGTTCTATCTAACAATGTAAAAATATCGATGGGAAGTATGCTGGGCATGGTGGTCATTTTTGGGGCATTTTGCCCCAGTCATTTGCATTACGTTCGACCTCGACCTCAAGTCCCCCCTCCACCCCACTTTTCGGCGCTTTTTCGATGTGACTATGTTTATAGACACTAATGAACATGTTTAGACCAATAAAACCATGGAAGTGCCGGATTCCCCCAATTATGCTGATTTTGCTGAATTCACATTGGCCGAAAGTCGACCCGGCTCTCGACATGGGGTCTACTTGGATTCACCACAACTGCAGAAAACAATCACACATATACAATAGAAGTAATTTTAAGCAAAATTTTCGGGATTCAAGGACGTGATGTTCGCGACACCACGTCTTTGGGAGGCCTGGCTTGAGCAGCAGGAGTGAGATTTTGGGCTCAAACTTTGGATTTGAGCAAAACATTGAGATGACTAACAATTGCGAAAGTAAGAGCGGTATAGATACTGTTCAACACAGAGCCAACCACCCCCTGAAAATCAGCCAGCCGGTGGCGATTTCGTAATCCACGGCCTACTTTACCTACCAGCGTCATAAATCAAAGATAAAACCCAGTCAGCTGCTAGAAAGCGCAAAGGAAGGGCAGGTGGTAGGTCAAGGGGCTCGGTGGGAGGCCGTCGTCCGGAACCGGCGCAAAGTGCTTCCAACCCACCGATCTCACGATACAAGACTGTCAATCCTTTGAAACTTTGGCAAACAGAGTACAACACATATTAAACCAGGAATCCCGAGCGAGAGTGAACAATCTACGATAGTGGCCCCGAAAGTGGGCAGTGTATGGAATCCAGCTCAAATCGGTGCTCCAGCGGCGTCTCACGACGCTTCTCCATCTAGACCAACGATATCGTGGCGCCGCGCTAGCCACAGGTGTTACAAACATAGAACTACTTGCTCCAGCAGAGGAATCGCCATGGAAGGTCCTCAGAGACCATGCGCTCCGATATTCGGTGGATTTTCCGCCCAAACGGGCTCGGAGGCCCGAATCACCCAACTGGTCAAAGATCATGTTATAGCATGCTATAGTTTGGCGTAAGACAACATTGAAACTTGGAATCTGGTGATAAAGCGGATGTAAGGGCCTTCAGGGCTCTGAAACGCTGTGTTCTGTTACCTGTTGGCAAAGTGCCACGATTCGTCTGTAAACCAATTTCCGCACTCAGGGTCCACTAGAGATTGCGACATTCAAGCCACAGCTATATGGAACTAGCGCACACTCGAATCGCCTGCGGGCGGCGATGGAACCAGGTGAGAAGCCGCAGAAAGGGCGTATTCGTGGGCTGGACGAGAATTCAACAAGACGACCATGATGTGCTTCTGGGGTCGTAGCCCCGATGCCATCCGCTTTCAACCATGTTTCCGACGTTAGGTATGCATGAATATACTGCTGAAGCTCTAGGACGGCCGGGAGACCTCGCTTTCGGTCAGAAACCCAGGAACGCCTTTTTGTCACCTGAAATCGCGGCAAACCCGCCCAGCGATATTGAGCTCGGTTTTACCACCATCCAAAGCCTCCAGACATGGAATTACGTGTGGAAAACCGTATTCCAGAAAGAGAGAGATGTAACAACAAGATGAGTTGGAGATACGAGTTCAAATGCGACCTGGCCGAAACGACACCGAAAACCTGACAGCTCGCCGTTCACGCCATGTACACCCTAAAATCCTCCTCCCACCATACGAGCGCAGTTGCATAGTGAGTAAATAGCAAATTCCAGGTGTTCGGACAGCTTTGCAGCAGTCTTGGCCAAAATATGTCAACCTGGCCCCAAAAGCCGACTGTGCCGATCTCGGCTCCAATCATAATTATTTTTTCACCGACACGCTTTCCCGCATATTGGAGATGAGTTAGATGATTTGCCATCATCAGACCGTCGATTATATCCTCCTGTATGGGTGAAGTGCAAACCACCCCTCAAAAACACCGATTTAGAGGGGTCGCAAATGACCATCTTCCCGTCGACTTTATCCCGCTTCACCACTATCAGTATATTGCCGACATTGTAAAAACACAAAGTACAGCCGAAAGTGGAGGTTTGTACATGCTTTGTCGAAATGGGGTGGGTTGGAAGCAAATTTTTCCAAGTTCGAAAAAATTCGAGTTTCAGCCTGGTGACTTCCACTTGAGACTTTTATGACCGACGAACGATTGTAACCCACATTAAATTTGCATGGGAAATCCGAAAATACCATCCGCGAGGTGGTGGCTCGTGTCTACTCGTCAGGGCAAATCGCTTGTTTGAGCTTCAGGCCACGCCAAGTGCTCGGAGCGCCGTTTTTTCAAGCGCAATCGAGTTTACACGATATTATAAGGATACCTTTTTGGAATTTCCGCCAGAAACAGCTCAGGTCGGGCAGGGCACCCGAGCGAAGCCCGCCAGCGATTCCAGTCTCTGACCTTCCCTCCGCCCCATCTCCACTCCCCGGCGTCCGTTCGCCTCCGTTTCAATTTTAGAATACTCCACATACATTCTAGTTTCTATTTCCAACGCGGCGAGGCTGGGGAAAAATCCTATCCGAATCTGTTAGTATAGGTCATTTTTCCTAGTGAGCTCAGCTCAGTCACACTACTTTTTTTTTTTTTCTTTTTTTTCCGCAATCTTCAATCTTATGGCACAAGAAAAGTTAGTCAAATTCCTATGCGCCCAACATTGCTTAAAACGAGAACAAAACCCCTCTACCAATTCGTTAGCGCTGTGCTACCCCCCCCCCTTTTCCCCGCGTCAGCCACAGCCCAGCCCGCCGTGCCTCTCGCCCCCCCAACCCCCGTCCGCTCAACTGACCCCGCCCGAGTCCGAGCTCCAACAGAGGCCCGCGCGAGTGTGACTTGGGGGGGGGGCGCTTGGGCTTTTGAGGAACGACTGAGCTTTGGCCGAAGCGGGAAGGTTGACTGTCAAACAGCAAAGCCAAACACAGAGCAAAGCAAAGGCAACGAAACGAATATGACAGCAGAGAACGAGGGTCATTGCAATTGCATAGAAGAAAAGCTGTTTGCTTGTTGGCCTGTCACGAATGAGACTCGCACAGTGTGTGCTCTCTCTCGCTCTCCCGAACTCTTACTTTTACTCTTACCCCTCTCTTACTCTTACTCTTCGCTTCTGTGGTCAGCCTATGGTGGGGGGGGGGACGGGGGACCATTGGACCAGCGCGCGCCGTTCTTCCTTCTTGGCCAAGACCGTTTCAATCTCCTCCTCCTTCCCTCCTTCCTCTTCCTCCTTCCCCTTCTGATTCAGCAAAAGCAGAGCCAGGGAGACAGCTGACGTTGTTGCTTTTGTGACTTTTGGCTTGGTTGCTCTGGCGGTCTCTTCGTTCTTTGGATGTTGGCACGTCCATTTGCTCTGGAAACCCTCACACACTTACACACTTACACACTTGCAGCTATTCAAGCAATATACTCACAACCGTCCTTTCTTTTTCTTGATGTTTTGCGTGTAACGTTGATGGCGCCTCCCCCCCCCCTGGCAAACGCAGCATGAGCGAAACTTCGTCATCCGTGGGCGGCGATGATTACTATGCATTCATCTCAGACACTGAGGACGTCGACCAGGCCGAGCTCGAGCTTGATGAGGCGCTCAACGAGTCTGTCAGCGTCGTTGTAATTGATCAACAAGTATGCATGCGCCGTTTTGTTGGTTTCGCGCTGGGTTCGATTCTGGTTGTCAGTGTTGCTAAAACACTCATCGCTTGCGCTCGTCATCCTCACTTCTGACAATCAAACTCGTTACAGGAGTTGGGCAAGGCTATTGCAGCTGCCATCCGCGTGGGCAACTTTATGCACAAGGCATCGGTGCTGTCTGGACTTGCATGCTTGGTAAAGAAAACCGCGGTTATTGGTTTTTTTTTTGTTTTTTTTTGTTGTTTTTTTTTTGGGGGGGGGGGTTTCGTTTTAGCTGCTGCTGAACAAGCTTCGAATCCTCATGCACGTGGGATTTGTGATTTGTCTTACATTGGCGACCATCATGTGCAATTCACTTTTGCTCGTTGCTTGCTATGGTTCCCCCAGGGCACCGGCTTGCTATCGCGGTGGCTCCGATTGAACTTTTGGGGTCTGACCTTGCCGGCCGGCGTTATCAGCGTGACCTGTGCGCTGTTCTACGATCTTTCATGGAGGACAGATCCTTGCTGCAAGTACCAGGTAGTGGCCACTCGTGCATGACTTTTATGTTTGTTTGTTTTGGTTGTGTTTGGGTTTTCTTGCGTTCTCATCTTTCGCCGTGTTTCTCTCTTCACATCATTCATTCCACAGGTCGACTGGAATGGACTCGAGTTTCAAAACATTCCCCTGGAACGACTACAATCAACAAACCCGGTAGTGCTGGTGCGACGAGACGATACTATCCGCAAACGCCTTCACAACATTGTGTCGTTCTCGTCGGCCGTATTTTGTGGTGCACGTCTCTTCCAAGCAGTCCGTGCTCGGAAGTAGCGTGTGTTGATTGTGCTGATCCTTTGTTTTTGTTGTTGATTTTTTTTTTTGTTGTTGTTGTTGATGTTTTTGTTGTTGTTGTTTTTGTTTCCATTGTAGACTGAATGGATGTGCCTGTCTGTCTGTCGTGCTGCCATCCCTTCTGTTTGCCGTTCCGATGGCCTCTATTTTTCATTTTTCAAAATGCACCAATGTACTCCAATGATTATTGTCGCCCATTTGCCAAAGTGTGTGTGTGTATTCAGTTCTATCGTCAAACACGAGCCGTTTTCGGCCTTCCCGAACAATCCGTCGCTCGGCGTGTTGGAGCTCATGTGAAAATACTCAGTCTCGTGAATACACACTGATATATATGAGCGTTCCGATTGTGTGGCCAGTCGTCGTTTTCAACTACCTTTCATCCGTCAACACCAATCCAATCACGAAATTTGGAATGGGTGGCGCGGTGACTGCTTGGCGCCCGACCGTCGCTGTGCTTGCTGCAGCATGTCTCTGCCTGACATTGCCAGGAGTGACATGTGCAACAGCGTCGGATCCAGCGGGATCTGCAACGCATGCAGAGATTGACTTGTTTGACAGCAGCGAGCTCCACCGCTTTGCCATCCAGACGTCGCCGCGCGAGTGGACTGCCCGACAAGACGAGGCCAGAACGCACTGCGAGCAGCGAGCGCGCATCCCAAACAGTCTCGACTGGCGAACGTGAGTGACGCGACGAGTGCTGCACATCACTTTGCTCGATTCCAATGCAGCTCCAGCAATCAACAAGGGCAAATCTTTCAGCCTTTTGTCGCGACAACAACAACCTCCGCATCGGGTGACATATCGGACGATTTCATCATCCACAACACCTCAACATGCATGGGCTTGTTTTGAAAATTCTGCCCTTGGATGTGCCGTGCTGGGATTTTGGCTCAAAGCGCTGCAAAATGTACCCAAACCTAACCTCGTTTGTCGCATGTTTCTGAGCAGATCGCCGTTTTACAAGGCATGTGTGAATGTTCGCAAGGGCGATCCGTGTCAGGCACAGTATGGCCACCGCGTGTTTTCGGGTATTTGCATCGACGGGTACTTTCCAGAGGTCAACCTTTGCACCACATTTGAGGTAAACCGTCCCCGCTACTTGCGCTACATGATGAAAACACAGCTCAGTGGTTCTCACGTCATTGTCTCTTGTTGGCATACTCACGTTGGTGCTTGTCGCAATTAGGCTGTCGTGGCGCCGCAAGCATGCACGCGCAAGGCTCCCAATGATGCGTGCCAGATTGACTTTTCAGATCACGGACGTGATCGATCGACCGCTGGTGTTTGCGCAAAAGATCCGACGCAACAGAATTCACTCTGCTTGACGACAGGCGTGGTGGATTTCCTCAACACGCTGACACGAACGTCGTTGCACGAAACCTTCTTTGGTGCCAATCTCACCTTCGTGCCGAACGTTCGCAAGCCGACGGTGGTCGAGTCGCGTCTCAACTCGCCATGCGTCTGGATGGTCGTGCCTCGCTGTGCAACATTCTACTCACCAATTTGGGTCAAGTTCCGCTTGTGCTGGACTTTGAACATGCCAGCTCCTCCAAAATTCCCTTGGCAAGCTCGTAAGCTGTGTTTTTGTGTTTTTTCTCCCTTCTTTCCTGTTTCAAAGCGCCATCCAAGTGTCGTGCTCTAGCGAGCTGACTTTGATCACTCGCATTTGCAGACAGCACGACTTGGAGCTTCTCGTCCAATCTCCTCTGTCAAAGTCGTTCTTCGGCCAATGGCGCGTTCACCTGCGAGGTGGGTACTGGGATGCGAGTCGCATCCGAGGAAAGGTACAGTAAAGAAGATTGCAGCTGCGTGCTGAGATGCTGCAGTGATTTGTTTGACTCACCTTCGAGGCGAAAAAAACCCAACCAAAAACCCTCATTCAGCTTCTGAGCGATGCGTTTCGAGCAGTCGGTGTGCGAGCTCCGCGAATCACACACGCTGAAATCAATGTGAATGGCGTATACCTTGGAGTGTATAGTGTGATTGAAGAAGTGCTGGGAGCACCAGTACGACAAGCGGTCAACTGGCCGGCTCCGCCCGGCTCCACGGCAGCAACGACCTTCAATGGCGCTCGAGTGCTGTTTGCCGATGCAGACGATTGCCCTGCCCAACAAACTCTCGAGGCTGAGCTTCAGTCTCTCCTTTCGCCGACGGGCTCGCTTCAGGTTCCCAGCGTGCAAGCTGGATTGTACGAGCCGCTGCTCACGCTCGAGAGCGTTCAAGTGCACTCGTTCCAACCAATTTTCCGCAATGCCTCTTCGATCGACTGGAGGAAAGACGCACTTGATTTCCTCCACGCATTGCACAGCGAAACTCGCCAAACAGATCCAGCCGCTTGGCGTGCAGGCATGGAGGCAGTCTTCCAAGTTGACTCGTTCCTCCGCTGGTTGGCAGTGAACACGGTGTTTGAGAATTACGACGCATACGGAGCCTTTGCCCACAACTACAGACTGTACCGGGTATGCTGCCAAAGTACAGTGGATGGATGAAGTGGCAACTCGTGGTACTCATGTGACGATTGTCCTTGGCGGTTTTTTTTTTTTGTTGTTGTTGTTGTTGTTGTCAGTCCCCTTGCTCTGGCAAAATTCACTTCCTTCCCTTTGACTTTGACTGGGCCATGCAACCGCGGATTGCACCAATCCCAGTATGACCGCGCTCCTGCAAGCCAAATGCTCCCCATGCTCGATGAAAGGGACTCACTTGCGCTGTACTTGTTGGATGTCGCAGCTGGACATGAGCTCTCTGGGCGATAATTGGCCGCTGATTCGATACTTGATGGACGATCCCGTGTACAAGCTGTACTACATGCAATTTTTGGGTCTGTTCCTGGAAGGTGAAGCATCTGGTCGTGGTGTGTTGGCGGGAGCTGAGCAAACTAACTCAAACCTGTATGTAGAGTACTTTTCGCCAGAGTACATGTCGGCACAAGCCGCGCGATTAACTTCCCTGATTTCAAGCTCTGTGCTGCGAGAAGACATTGGTGAGTTCAAGAAGAAGATGAGCATTGTCCCAACTGATGGAAAGTCTTGACAGAATGGCTGACACAATCGTTGCATTGCAGACATTTCGGGGCTCGACGAGGCAGTCTTCCGAGATGCGCTCAAGGCCATTCGCAGCTATGTCGTCGAGAGAAGTGCCAGTTCCAAGAGCCAATTGTCACGTATGATTGCCGACGCAAAGCTCAGCAAGAAACAAAAAAAGGCACGAGCGAAGGCACGAGCGACCCAGCGCCAAGACTTGTAGTTAGTTTGGATATTGTGTGACTCCCGGACTATGCTGAATGCTGAGGCGGAGCGCATCGCTTGACGGCATACACTGCGATACTCCCGAAAGGTTCTGATCGCAAGTCGTTCAAGCGACCTGATGTCAGAAACGTTGTGAACTATTTGCCAACCAATACAGAGTGCATGTCTGATCCGTCGTTCTGAGAATCAATCTGAGACTCTCAATCAGTCTTTCAATCCTATTTCCAATGCATCGTTCTTTCAAAGCATTCGCTGGCACGGCGACTGCGACCGCGGCCGTCGTCCTGCGTCCTCATCGACCCACTGCAACGGCCACTCGAACACTTGCATCTACCGCCATGGGTGCCTGCGCAATGCTTCCGTCGTGTCGCAGTGGTGGCGTTCGCACAAGCGGACCGGCGTCATCAGTTCTCGCCGGCTTCAGCTCCAACTCCACCTTCAACTCCAGCGCCAGCGGCAGATCTCGAGCCTTGCTGCGTTCACCGACAATGGTATGTCACCATCGATGGCTGAATGGGGGGGGACGGATTTTTGAACAAAAGACCGCGATGGCACACTCGATGTAGTTTGGCAAACGTTCTTCTTGCTAAACTCGCATGTGCGCCTGTATCCGTTGCCAAAACCTCCATTTTGACGGTCAATGCTTGTTGGATGCATGCCCACTAGGTACCTGCGCGATCTGTCTTTATGTGGGTCGAGAATATTTTCAATGCGCCCGACCGCGCTCGGTTGCGCGAAGTTGGCCAGGACAGGTAACCAACCATCTTGACAACTGCTGCTTGTCGCTCCGTGTATATGCTGCCTGGGAAGGTGAGTGCTGGGAATCGATTCCCGCCTGACTTGATTTTGTTTGTGGACTCGACGGATTAGATTTGCGGCCGAGTTTGTCTTGCGCATGTCTGGAAAGCTACGCGTGAACGACAGCGACTCTTGGGTGGATAGCGATTCGCAGCTGCATGGCGGCCAGGAGATGCGGCTCACCGACGTGGACTTGTCAGACTCCACGGTGACACCTGTGGGAATGCAGCACTTTTCCAACCTCAAGCATCTGAAGCGCTTGGACCTGTCGGGCAACTCGTACTTGACGGACGACTCGATTGCTCGCCTGGTCGACTCGCCTCTGCAAGTTCTCAATGTTAGCAACACGCCGCTGACCGACAAGTGCGTGTCTTCGTTGACAAGCATGTCGGCCTTGCAGGAGCTGGATGTGCGTGAAACCAAATTGTCTGTCAACGCCCGGTCTCGACTTCAAGCCGCGCTGCCCAAGTGTCAGGTCCACATCTCGTGAGAGTATGCGTATTTGTTTTGGGTGTATATAAGCAATGAAGGAAGATTTGAACTGGAGCGAGCACGACTTGCGCGACTTGAAATGTATCAAAAAGCTGTAACCTTTCAACATCCTTTCTTCACATAGCAGCAGCGCACTTGGCCTTGATCGATGACTCTTTCGAGGCAATATAGACACTATACTTTGTCATCCACTCGCCACTCTTTCATTCGCTGCCAAGACCGTCAGAATGTCGCTCAATCCAAAGGCAATGGCGTTCAACCCGAATGCACCGGCCTTTGTGCCCAGCTTTGCAGCCGCGCCTGCCCCCGCTCCCGCTGCTGCCCCTGCTCCTGTTGCTGCTGCCCCTGCCTCTGCTCCTGCTCCTGCTCCTGCTCCGGCTCCGGCTCCAGCTGCAGGTACCCCCCTCCGCTTCTCGCCTCCTTTTGCTCTGCACATCCACACGTGGATATCGGCGTCCTCGGGAGCTCCCCACCACCACCACCACCACCAGCCCACCCCTGCCTTCGTCGGCTTGCTTCTGGGTGTATGACGCCCGCGTGCTTCAGAGTCCGAAAGTGGCGCTGCTCTGCGGCGTTGCAGAAGGGCAGAAATGGAACGAACGAGATCTCGTATTACCTAACAGGCCCTCCCCTCCCTCCCTCCCTCCCTCCCTCCCTTCTTCGAGTCTCGGCAACACTGTTCAATCCTTTGACCTGACGACCGAAAGGCGACCGTTTGTTCTGCTGGCGGAAGCAGAGCGCTGCGTGCACGAGAGCGAAGAGCGAGAGGGGGACGCTGACTTTGCTCTACTCAACTCACTCACTCACTCACTCACTCACTCACTCACTCACACTGGCGCAAGGCTGTGAAATAGCTCACCGCTCCTCCTTCGCTTTGCAACGTTGTAGCACCAGTCGCACCAAAGCCTGTTGCTGCCGCTGCCCCTGCCCCTGCCCCGGCACAGGCTGCCTCACCCAAGCCTGCCGCTAGCCCCGCGCCTGCTGCGCTCGATGAGGATGAAAGCAGTGGCGGATCGTCGCCCGCGCCTGTTGCAGTTGTCGAGGAGGACGACCCCCGCGAGCACCTCAACATTATCTTCATTGGCCACGTTGATGCCGGCAAGTCCACCATCGGCGGTCACATCATGTTCTTGACAGGCATGGTTGACAAGCGCACCCTCGAAAAGTACGAGCGCGAGGCCAAGGACCAAGGCATGGGCTCCTGGTACCTCTCGTGGGCACTCGACACCAACCCCGACGAGCGTGAGAAGGGCAAGACGGTCGAGGTCGGCCGCGCCACGTTTGGCACGAGCAAGAAGCGCTTCACCATTCTCGATGCCCCCGGTCACAAGAGCTACGTCCCCAACATGATTGGCGGTGCCGCTCAGGCTGACGTCGCCGTGCTCGTCATCTCTGCGCGCAAGGGCGAGTTTGAGACTGGCTTTGAGCGCGGTGGTCAAACTCGTGAGCACGCCATGCTCGTCAAGACTGCCGGTGTCAAGCATCTCGTTGTCGTCATCAACAAGATGGACGACCCGACCGTCGGCTGGGCGCAAGAGCGCTACGACGAGTGCGTCAGCAAGCTCACCCCATACCTCAAGCAGTGCGGCTACAACACTGCCAAAGGTAATACTTGGTCGTGATACACGATGCTACCTTGCGCGTGTGCAGCCAATTTTTTGCTATTGGCAGACTGGGAGGAGAGGCAGTATGTTAATTTTGTATGGGTTTTTTCCGTTGTTGTTGTTTTTTTTTTTTTTCGATTATGCAGACGTTACTTTCATGCCTGTCTCGGGCCAAGCTGGTCTTAACCTCAAGGAACCCCTCACAAAGGCTGTTTGCCCGTGGTTTAGGTATAGCGGCATCACAAGGGGGAGATGTGAAGGCGTGGTTTTCGGCTAACTTGCAGTTGTTTTCGTACTCTACTAGCGGCCCCTCTCTCCTGACCTTCCTTGACGACCTGCCGACGATTGTTCGTGTCTCTACTGGCCCGCTGCGCCTCCCGATCAGTGACAAGTTCAAGGTACCAGGCCTCTCCGTTGTGATGTTGGCTTTTTTTGTTTTTTGTTTTTCTGGTTTGTTTGTTGTTTGTTTGTTTCTACCTCTTTTTTTTTTTTCTCTTTTTTTTTTTTTTTGGCTCACCATGATGATTCACACTTTGTCTAGGACATGGGCGTGGTCGTCATGGGCAAGATTGAGTCCGGCAGCATTACCCGAGGCGAAAAGCTCATGATCATGCCAAACAAGGTGCGTGGCATGCGAAATACTCAGCTTGAAGCGCAGAAGCACCTCTCCATTTTGTGACTCACCCCCTTCCTTCTCCCGTTGCTTTTGCTTTCGCATGAAGACTGTCGTTGAAGTCATCGGGATCTCGCAAGATGAGAAGGATGTTTCTCACGCCTCGTCTGGCGAGAACGTCAAGGTCAAGCTGCAAGGCTGCGAAGAGAAGGTCAGTGCCAAACTATGGATGCGCAAATAGTGGAGCGCGCCGTTTGGATCAATTGTGGTCTAATCGCTGGCTGCCCTTGGCCTGCTTTTTCAAACTAGGATGCCATGCAAGGATTTATTCTGTGCCGCGCCGACGATCCCGTGCACGCATGCCAAACATTCGATGCTCAGATTGCGCTGCTCGAGTACAAGTCAATTATCTGCGCCGGCTTCTCCGCCGTGTTGCACGTGCACACCGCTGTCGAGGAAGTGACCATTATTGTGAGTTCGCGTTGGCTGGCTTGAGCGGAGATTTTGCTGGTGACTCGCGGTGGCTCGTGTTGTTTTGTCTCGGAATTCTCACTCCGCTCGAGCGTGATGCAGGATTTCATTGCCAACGTCGACAAGAAGACTGGCAAGCCCATCAAGACCAAGCCAAGGTTTATCAAGCAAGGCATGGTTGTTATTGCTCGTTTCCAGACCACCGGATCGGTGTGCATGGAGACCTTCAAGTCGGTCCCCCAGCTCGGCCGCTTCACCCTTCGCGATGAAAACAAGTCGATCGCCATCGGCAAGATCCTCAAGCTCAACCCCTGCCCACCGCAGGAGCTCAAGGCCAGCAGCTCCAACCCCGCCGACCTTCTGGCTGCCATCGCTACCGACGCCAGCTCAGACGAATAAGCACCGCGTTAGCAACACATGTTACTCTAGTTTGTTGTTGCGAATCCCAGTCAATGGTTTGTGTGGGGCCCCTTTCACATTTGCTTTCTCTGTTTGATTTTTTTTTTCTTCTTCTTTCCGTCGTGCATGTCAGTTGGGTTTTTTTTTTCTCCCCAGGTCGTCATTGTCGACCATTGCTTCTTTTCCATTGATTGATTGATTGAGTCTTGTCTCTTTGTTTCTTTGCAAGATTTACCACGGCTTCGCTCCAATGTGCTTTCACAAGCCACAAACACAAAATACAAACACTTTGAAAAAACGAAATCTCGTGTATTGACATTTGTTAGCATAAGCAAACAGCGCTCTGTTGTTGTGTCTGACACTCTACTTGGCAGCTCCTTGCTTCTTGGCCTTGACCATGTCAGCAAGCTCCTGTTCCAAATGAACGAAAAACGAAAAATGTGAGGAGGGCGAAAAATGCATCAGCTTGAAATTTCACACACAAAGGGCACCACCGACCTTGAAACGACGCTGGCACTCGACCTTGTCACGAGTCGAAACAGCAGCCGCAATCTTCTCCCAGCGCTCGGGATCGGTGCTGGGAATGGCCTTGAGGGCAATTTGAAGGGCGTTTTGCTCCTCAGCAGTCCAGCTCGAGGCGTCCGAGTGCTCAGCAGCTTTAGGCTTGAGCGTAGAGGTGGACGCGCCAACAAGTCCGTCGTCGCGAAGAGAAGGTGCAGCAGTGATTTCCTCAACAGCAGCAGCCTTCTTGGCCAGCTTGACAACCGAGTCCTTGTTGGTCTGCTCCTTGGCTTGCGCGTCGGCAGCAGCTGGAACACCAAGCAGAGCCAAAATAAACAGTTTCGAGCATGTTGAGCTTGCAGTTGTCGAGTGTACGCAACCAAGTGGAAGTTGGGAATCAAGAAGATGTCGAGGGGAGAACCCAAAAAAAAAACGGGGAAAAAAAAAAACAAGTACGGAAGGCTTCATTGATAGTGGTGGACCCTTCAAGTATCACAAAGATAATGAATCACCGATACACTCACACACGCATACACCAACGCATACGGTCAATATCAAGAAATAACAGATCAGCTCAAAAAGAACAAGAGCGACACTCGCTTCTCTTTGGACTTGTACACACCACCGCCACCCCAACCCCCACACGAAGGGAATGAGTTTTGGGAGGGACGTTGAGCGAGCGAGCCAAACAGAGACAAAGAAAGAGAGAGAGCTGACGCTTCTTTCACAGACCTCCGAGCTTCTGGAGCTCCTTGGCCTTGGCGATGACCTCGGTGACGTTGAACTTGGTGCTGGTGGTGGCACGGTTGACGTTCTCGGCAATAGCCTCCCAGCGGTTGACAGAGCCCGGAGGGTGAGCCTTGACAGCCTTGACGAGGAGGTGGTTGTCCTCGACAGACCACTCACGCGCAGCAGAAGCCTGGCTGCGCTGTTCCCAAGTCTGGCGGTCTGGCGGTCACACGAAGAGGTGGAGATGGTCATAGTGAGCAATGTGGTCAAGCAAAATCAGATGCAAGCAAGCAATTCCCAAATGCGTCAACGAAACACCACAAAAAAACAAACGTACTGGCAACAGCAACCTTGGCCTCAGCCTCGTCGTGGCGCAGACGAGCAATCTCCTCGTCGAAGGCGCTGTTGGCATCAGCCTTGTTGGCCTCGATGGCGTCGTTGAGGGCCTTGAGGCGGTCGAGGGAGAGCTTCTCGCAGAGCATCTCGGTGGTCTCCATCTGGCGGACGAGGTCGTTGGGGTCGGCAACAAAGTAGTTGTTGTCCTTGCAGACGTTGCGCAGGCGCTTGCGCTGGGTGCGGAACTGCTTCTTGATCTCCTCCTTGTCGTTCTTGGCCTTCTCAAGCGCGAGCTTGGCGGCGGCTTCGGCGGCAGCCTTGGCCTCCTGCTCCTCCTTGATCTTCTTGGCCTTCTCCTCGGCGGCAGCGTTGGCAGCGGCCTGCTTTTCGCGCTTCTTAAAGTTCTTCTTGTCGTCCGCCTGGCGCTTGAACTCGGCAAGACGGGGATCGCAGAGCGAGGTGTTGTCAATCAGCGTGCGCATGCGACCGACTTCGGCGGTGCGCTTCTTGGCACGGGCAGCCTTGTTGGCCTTGTCAATCCAGCGCTTCTCGTCGCGGTTGTCACCCTTCTCGGTGTCCTCCTCGTCCTCGTACGAGAACTCGCGCCAGGTCTCCTCGTTGTACCAGGCAGCGTAGAAGGCGTTGACCTCGTCCTCGGTGGCGTCGGGGCCGCCGAGCAGCGGCATCGGCTGCTTCTTGAAGAAGTGCGCGTTGCGCTGGATGACGGGGCCGAACACGGCGAAAAAGTTCTTCTTGTTCTTGTCCGTCACCTCGGGAACGTTGTTGTTGAAGGTGGGGTCGACTGAGTCGTACGAGCGACGCTTGACAGTGTCGGACAGGATTTCGTTGGCCTTCTTGAGGCACTTGAAAAAGTTGTCCTCATCGTCGACAGAGCCAGACTTTTTGCCAGCCTTCTTGTCGGGGTGGTGGATGAGGACCTTGCGCTTGAAGGCCTGGCGGATGATCTCCTCGGTCGCGTCCCAGCGGATCTTGGAGAGACCCATGACCTCGTAGTGGTCCTGGTGCTTCCAGTTGGCGGGGTCGAGCGTGGCAAAGTGCGCGGGCTCGGTCTTGTCGAACAGGTCTTCGCTGAACTGCTCCGTTTCGACAGCAGCAGCGTCCGCGCCGGCAGTCGCCTTGGTGCCGTACGCGTACGAAGGGTCAAGGGCCTTGCGCTCAATCTCGCGAACAGCGGCGTCAAAGTCCGGGTCGGTGACGTTGGTTGCCTGGCGCAGACGCAGCGCAAGCACCTCAAACCAGCGGCCAGCGGCCTCGAGCTTGGCAATGGGCGCGGCGGCACCGGCACCTAGCCAGTCGAAGCAAGTACAAACATAAGTGTGATTCGAGGCATGGTGGGAAGTCAGAGAGAAAGAGAGAGAGAGAGAGAGAGAGAGAAGGAGCAGCGAAAAAAAAAAATTCAATGTACAATCGCAATGGAAAAAAGCCATGTGGGGCAGGACCATGTGCGCTTCGCTTCGTGGCGGGGAGAGAGAGGTGGGAGAGAGAGACGCTCCAGGCGCATGAACATGAAGCGCAGGAGAGTGAAAGCGATAAAGCAAAAGCGGGGTGGGGTGAGGGGGGAGGGGAGGGATCGGGCGTTACCAGTGTAAGGAGCAAAGGCCTTGGTGACCTCGCCGTCGGCAGCAGCGCCGAGCGACAGGATAAAGTCAGTCGTCATTGTTTGTGTGTTGAAAATGAGGGGATTCTAAGAGTGAAGCAAAAAAAATATCCTAATATAACATTCAATACGGGAATGGATTTTGGTTGAGTGACTGAATGCATCAGATGAAACACACATTAGAGGATACTCCAAATGTACAAATGCAGACATTTTTGTACAAGGTTGATCCTGTGTGAGCTGTGGCGCACTCTGCCTCCCCATCACACATCTATCCACCAAACAGCATCTGATGAAACCATTGAGCACAACGAGCGAACGCGTAGGTGCCTGGAATGAGTTGGCCCTCGCGCTGCTCCGAATTCACATTTGCAAGGCCGCTGTGCTCCACACTTGTAAGTAAACTTTACACCTTGTGATGATGTCAGTGGACCAGGTGTCGCGGGTGACGTTGAGACGCAACCGACCCTGAGGCTGCTGGCGAATGGATGTTTCGCGTCAAATGGTTCGCGCGTCAAATGGTTGGTGCATCACCGCGTTCAAACCAGCCCTCCCAAATAAATCTGGAGCAGGTAGATGATCGAGTACAGGATGACGCTGAGCCTGGGTCAGCCATTCCTTGCTACGTTGTCATCCTGCTCACCCAATAGACTTGAGTAGAATGGCATTGGCAATCTTGGTTGAACGGAGCGATGGAAGAAGCGGCAATTTTGGTTGGTTGCAGCAACAGGCTCAACCCTGTGCTCTGCCGATCGCCTCCTCCTTGCTCCAGTGATCGCAAAGATATGCCAAGATCATCAGTTGAAATCATTAGCGGGTCGTGCATTGTTTGAAACTAGGGTTGTATCACGATGTTTGCAATCCAACGAAATTATTGAATAAATTGTCGTCGCTTCAAGTACCCAACCAAAGCGACAAAAGCATGTTCACACCATTGCACCAATCTCGCGGATGATCGATCCATCCTCGAAGGCTTTGAGAGCTTTGACGAGCTGGGGAAAACTTAGTCTCAGTTCTGGAATCTTGTTCCAACAACTGAGCATCAGGCTAAATAGGTCGGCTGAGCAGTTCTCTGGCATGGGCAGTCGTCCACCAGCCTCCAGATGAGCTAGCGTTTCACGACCATCCATTTTGCTGTACGGCACTGCGCCGTAACTACAGCACTCCCCTGCAACCAAGCATCACCGGAATTGAGAACAATGGTTTGGGCCCCACCTCATTTCGATCCTTCGACTTACAAGCGGTCACACCAAACGACCACACATCAGACATGGCCGAGAACTTGCGGAAAGTCAATGTTTCCG